CTTTCTTTCTTTCTTTCTTTCTTTCTTTCTTTCTTTCTTTCTTTCTTTCTTTCTTCTTCCTTCCTTCCTTCTTTCCTTCCTTTCTTTCCTTCTTTCTTTCCTTCCTTCCTTCCCTGGGAGCTACTTAAGACCCATCCTGCCATCAGCACTCAGTGCACCAGTGACTCCACAGTGGAAACACTGCTCCAGGGAGGAGGGATACTTCTGTTCCTCAGAGTATCTAAGCCCTTCAGGCTTGAGAACCAGTTTCTTGAAACCGGAATGCCCTGTCCTGTTGGGAAAGATGGGTAATTACCTGAGTACAGCCTTGCCCCACAGGGATGATAGAGTCAGGGGCCTGAAGAACCTGACACTGCTCCTTCTTCACTGATGACTTCCTAGAAACCAGGAATTGTTGGTGTCTAAAGAATGTCAGTCCTCCCAGGCCCCAGGGAGGAATGGAAAGATACCCCCACATCATCCGTCTTCCTGGACGCTGCTGGGTGGCACAATAGATAAGAGTACCGGGTTTGGAGTCAGGAAGACCCAAGTTCAAAACCTGCCTCAGACATTTCCTTAGTTGTATGACCCTGGGTAAGTCCTTATCCTCTCTCAACCAGGTCTCTCATCTGGGAAATGGGGAAATAATAGCATCTACTTCACCAGTGAGATGATATATATAAAGCACTTAGCAAACCTTCTAGCTCAATAGAAATGCTAGGCATTATCCATCCTACAATCCATTAAAATATGTGGAAAAAATGAGAGGGGGAAGGTGAGAGTTTTTGGTTTTGTTTTGTTTTTTTTTAATGAACAGAGCCACTAGCTCTCTGTTGGCAATAATAGTAATCTGGTGGATAGAAAGCTGGCCAGTGGCCTCAGGAAGACCCAGGTTTGAATCCTACCTCTGTGACCTATACTGGTTGTGTGATCCTGGTAAAGTTACTTAATCTCTCACTTCCCCTAAGCAACTCTCTAAGACTAAGTTGTAGAAAAGGCACTCACCTACGACGGTAAAGGGAATTTCCTCATCTAGAAGTCCCCTGTACCAATGAAATCACAGTTCTGGTCTTTATCCCTAATAGCAATCACATTTCCTTCATGCTTTAAGGCTTACAAAGTACTTTGCTCACATCAGCCCTGCCAGGCTTTAAGTAATTAGATTTCATCAGTGTAGAACCCCTGGAATCAGGAAGGCCCGAGTCTGAATCTTTCCTCATATAGTGTGTGGCCTGGGACAAGTCACCTAACCTCTGTCTGCCTCAGTTTCCTCATCTGTTAGATGAAGATAATAATAGCACCTACCTCCCAGGATTGTTGTGAGAATAGAATGAGAGAATATTTGTAAAATGCTTTGTGAACCTTAAAGCACTATGTAAATGCTAGTGATTATTATTATTATCATTGAGCAAGTATTTTCCCCCTTTTACAGGCTCAGAGCAGTGGTGACTTACCTTGGGTCTCAGAGCTAGTAGTAGAACCACCTCTGAATGCATTTCGTCATTATTATTGCCGACAGAGAGCTAATGGCTCTGCTTATTTAAAAAAAGTCACTTACCTTCTTCCCTCTCACTTTCCCCACATATTTTAATGGATTATAGGATGGATAATGCCAATCATTTCTATAGGGCTAGAAGGTTTGCCAAGAGCTTTACATATAAGCAGGTGCTATTATTCCCCTATTTCCCAGATGAGAGACCCAGGTCTTTTGACTTTAAGCTGAGAGCTTGGTGCCAATGGTTTTCCTCCATACAAACAAATCTTGTCCCCAGTCTATCCAGCGCCATCTTAGTTAATCCAAAGGGTTTGTTCCAGAGTCTATAAGCGTTTACACAATATGCATATTGTCCTCTCTGAGGTTCAGGTTCCTCATCTGTAACTCGAGGCCGTGAGACAAGAGGGTCCCTTCAAGGTCCCTTCCCTCTGGGGGCCATGTTCAGAATCTCAGATTTCCATAGATAGAATAATCTCCAGTTGTTTTCCCTTCTCTGACAGAATCATGGACTCTCAGAGTTGCACCTGAACAAGAATCCCTCCCCCTTCAACATTCCCAATAAGTTGTTTGAAGACTTCCAGTTAAGGGGAGCCCCTTGCCTCCCGAGTCAGCCGTGGCTGCTTGGGGCTGGCTCTAACATTTCTGAGATTTCCCCTTGCATCCTTGGTTTCTCTGCAGCTTCCTTCACTGCTCTTGGTTCAGCCTTTCAGGGCCAACTTCTCTTGACCCGTCTCCCCTCCAAGTATTGGAAGGTAGCTCTCATATCTCTCCCCTCTGTCTTTTCTCCGGCCTAACCAGTTTCTTCAGCTGTTTTCCCTCCAGTCAGATCTTCTTCTTCATTTATGCCTTTCTGTGATTCTCTGCTTTTCAGTTCTGCCCCCTTCCCATTTTACAAAATATTCCTTTTAACACTGCCTCTGTGAGGTCTATCTACAAACGCCACTGTGGAGGGAGGTGCTCTCTCGCTCTCTCTAGAAGAGGCAGCAAACAGGTGAGTCCCAAAGGAGGAAAGCCAGAGACGGTCCTTGGGACCCTGCATAACAGAGAGGTGGTTCTAATATTCTCCCAGGCCTCAGAGAACTTGGTTTCCCTGAAGTCATGTCACCTGCCTTCCTCAAGTCTGAGCCAAAATAGCGTTCCCTTGGAATGGTCGAGTGGGTTCCCAGGCATCAGATATGGGCACGCCAGGAAGCCAAACCCCGAGCCCAGCGATGCACGCCGTTTGAAATGTGTGCGGCTGAGATAAGATGGGAAGCTTTAGGGGAGTCAGGGTTAAGTTAAGTATCCCTGTTGATGAAAATTTTTCTACTTGAACCTGGTACCAAATTCCCATCTTCTATTAATTCGAGTGAGATGATGAAATGAGATAAAGACATTGAAAAGCACACCGTGCTGCATGAGCATAAGTAGATTCAGGTCTTTAACTCTCCGGGAGTCTCTTACAAGGCGCTTTTTAAATGTCCCCCACAATTCAGAACCTCCAGGGGCTGTAAGTGCTGAGGAGAGACAGGCAAAACTGTCCAGAGCAAGGTCCAAGGTGGGATATGGGGCTCAGAGATGTGGTTTTGTGTTCAGGGGAGGATCAGCCAGAAAAGGGAAAGGAGCCGGAATCCAGACAGGACCTGCTCCCCACCTGTCTCAGGGTCATAGAAAGAATACCTACTGGGCTCAGGAGTCAGAAGGTCTGAGTGCTAATCCTGACCATGCTGCTTACTAACCGCCAGTTGCTTCCCCATTAGACCTCAGTTTTCTTATCTGTAAAATGAAGGGGTTAGGCTAGAATAGGGTTTCTTAATGTGTGTGTGTGTGTGTGTGTGTGTGTCCTGGCCCCTTTTGGCAATCTGGGGAAGCCTGAGGACCCCCTCTCAGAGTCATGTTTCTAAATGCATAAAATGAAATAAATGGATTACAAAAGAAACCAATAACATTGAAAAACAGTGATATAAAATATAATAGATAATGATATATTAATGTAAATATCAGAACATATTAATATAATATTATATTAGTATATAGTATTATAACACAATATTATATCATTATAATATGATATGATGTAACATAATATAATATAACAAGTTCAGAGCCCTGGTTTAGATGGTCTCTAAGAACACATGGTGGCCGCTGCTGGGGAGACGTGGCGGTTTTGGCCTGAGAGCTGCCTTCTTTGGTCCAAAAGACTTTGCTGAGATGTCTCCTACTCTGTAGAGGGACATAGTGGAAAGGACATCTTCCCCTCACACTGTCTTTAATCACAGATGGACTGTTGAGGTACAGCTGCTCCACTTTCTGGAAGAGCAAAAAGCCCAAGCCTAGATCTGGTATACAGGGCAGTTAGGTGGCGCAGTGGATAGAGTGCTAGGCCTGGAGTCAGGAAGACCTGAGTTCAAATCCAGCCTCGGACATTTCCTAGCTGTGTGACCCTGGGCAAGTCACTTTACCCTGTTTGCCTCAGTTTCCTCCTCTGTGAAAAGAGCTGGAGAAAGAAATGGCAAACCACTCCAGCATCTTTGCCAAGAAAACTCCAAATGGGGTCACAAAGAGTTAGACATGACTGAACAATAACAGCCTGATATATAACCTTCCTAGCCCCTGCACCTGAAGCCACACCTGACCCCTTATGGTCCAGCCCCCAAGAGAGATGTCAGGAGCTGTCAAAGGCTAATCAGTGGGCAACTGAAGCATCCGTGTTTGTGTGGAGGTGGGGATCACATTCTTAAACCCCATCCACCCAACCTCCTACACCTCACAGAGCTCAACGCAGAGCTTAGGATCCGCATCTCAGAAGCTGCCTAACCTCATCATTTTACAAATGAGGAAATAGGCCAGGATTAAATGACTTGTCCAGGGTCACACAGCTAGCAAGTACCAGTGATGGGAGTCTAACTCTTCCACTTTAGAGATAGGGAAACTGAGGCCCAGAGAGGGAAACCCTGAGTAAGTAGCAGAGCCCAGTTTTTGAACTCAGGTCTCCTGACTAAATATCCAGTCCCCCCCCCCACTATACCCTGCACCAGGCTGCCTCATAGTGATAAAAGGCTTCTGGAGAGATTTGTAAAAATGAGGACTCTAAAATTAAAATTAAATATTAAAATTAGGAATAAATTAAGTTAAAATTAGTACTCTTAAGATGGAGGATGGATGTTGAATTCTACAGTGGACCTGTGTTATTATGAGGGTAGGCACTCTCTCCTCTGATGCAGATGACTACTGATTCATACCTTTTCATCCTACCAGATTCTAGTCCAGTTCTTACGGACAACTCTCCATGGAGGTTCCACCAATGTGTTGGATGGAGGCCTCCTCCTCCAGCTCTTGTGAGGGTTCACAAACACCAGCACTGCATTTGGGTTGCTCAGCCAGCATCCCTCTCTTTCACCATCTGGCTGGCCCACTCTTCTGGTCAGATGCATCTGACACCATTGCCCCCAGTCGGCAGCTTCTTCACATCTACCCCATGTCTTCCATGCAAAGCCTTGGGGCTCTGGGTCTTCTGAGATCATAGTGTTTCACCACCCACAGCCATATGACCTCACCAGATGAATATCGGTGTTGAAATGATGGGCTCTGCTGACCAGGAGCAGCTGAGGGTCACTGGAGGGACCATGCACATTCTTGAATGCAATCCAGCCCCACTGACCTCTTCTTATACAATCCCCTTTTTCCATCTGCACATGTGACCTGAACAACTAACTGCATGTTGTAATTTGGGTAATGTGAGTCAGGGCAGGCACTAAGTATTTAAAAGCCAGCAAAGAGGAGTAGAGCCCTTTAAATGAATGCTATTTGCTGAGCACTAGTGGGGCAAGCTATGTGGTGCCATAGTGCACATAGCACTGGGCTTGGAATCAGGAAGCCTCATCTTCATGAGTTCAAATTCAGCCTCAGATACTAGCTGTGTGATCCTAGGCAAGTCATTTAATCCTGTTTGCCTCAGTTTCCTCATCTGTAAAATGAGCTGGAGAAGAAAATGGCGATCTATTCCAGAATCTTGGCCAAGAAAATCCCAAAAGGGGTAGCCAAGAGTGGGAAATGACTGAACAGCCAGGTGCTATGCATAAGAACTGTGGTCTCTCCTCAATTCTGGCGGAAGAGATCAGAGGAACCCGGATAAAAAGACCACTAAATTATAAGAGACAAGTGAACAAAGCAGCTATCCACCTAAGTGCCATGCAACAGCTGAAGGGTCTGTCTGGGGCTGAAGTGGTCAGGGAATTCTGTGAAATGGGATGGAAAGGAGGACCACAGACCTAGGTCCTCCCATGGGGCTGGAAGGAATGCTCTAGCTGAGAGACAGACAGATGGAGAGAGAAAGACAGAGAGGGAGGGAGAAAGAGAGGGAGGGAGGGAGAAACAAAGAGGTAAGGAAAAGGGGGAAGACAGGGAGGGAGAGACAAAAGGAGAGAAAGATAGAGAGGAAAAATAGAAATGGCTTAGGATTGGGAATTAGGAGCCTTGGGTTTTGACCCTAATGAGCTGCATGACCTTTGGTAAATCATTTTCACTCTCTGAGTGTCAGTTCCTATGTCTGCAAAATAAGGAGAATATTTGGAACTCCTTCTAACTCTAGTATTCAGGGATCCTAGCCATAGGTGACCCTTGGATTTCCAGGCCCCTTCCTGGAAGTGTTATTCAGGACTCCTGATCCTTGGATCCATATAAAGGGTGTTAAAAAGTGTGAAAAAGCTAAACTACATCCCTCCTCTTCTCCCCCAATCTCTACTTGGGTTTCAGGCACCTGCAAAGCCCGATCTGCAAAGCCTTCCGGCATGTGAAGGTGGATACACTGACCCAGCCCGAAGCTGTCTCCAGCATCCCAGTGCCAGGTAAATGCTTGGACCACAAAGAATACCAGGGGTCTCCAGAGGATTGAAATGGTGCCAAGAGGACAGTTGGACCTGAGGAGGGGGCTTTGGAAGGGGAGAGCGTGGCTTGGACTGTCCATTGAAAACATCATTAATGTAGCTGTGGTCTTTCACACACAGCAATATAGATGAGGAAAATGAAAAAAAAAATGACAATCACAGGAACATGTTCATTCAAAGACTAGGGGGAAAGCTGAGAAATCTTTGCAGAAAGGGGATTGATTTCACCTCTGAGCTTTCCTGCCCTGAGCACTCAGATTTCTGAATTTGTAGAAAACCCTTTTAAAAAATCAGAACTATAGATCAGTGAGGCTGTTCTCAAACTCTGGTCCTCTGCATCTGCCTTGGGACAAGTGATACTGGGTGTGTGTGTGGGATGAGAGCATCACTGTCACTTTGTGGCAGACGTGTCTCCCTTCTTGGCAGACAGATAAGTATTTTAAAAGGGGTCTTCTGGAGGTGATGCCTTGGTCCCCAAATGAGGGACCCCAATGTTAAGATTCTCAGGCATGATCCTCATTGATGGAAGGTCCTGTGGGAGTGGGGCAAAATGACCTCAAAAAGGTTCCTTCCAAGTTATAAATTTTGATGAACTTTCACTTTTCCCTGGGGGCAGTGAGCAAGAGGATGCCGCCATTCAAATGTCACGCTTTCTCACCTTTTTATTCCCTTTGTAGCTGCTTGGTGCACACTGAATCAAGACTGATGCCGCCCTCCTAACGACTCAGAATGTCAGGCCAGAGACTTGGCCACTCATTATAAAGAACTGTGTGTCTTTTCTAAGAACCTTGTTATAAATGCTGTCTTTTCAATACACTTCTAAACAGGAATGTATTCTCTTGTTGTTTGAAGTGAAGGAAAAAAAATCCCTCCCTGTACCCAGTACCCATCATTATACTGTACCCTGGGGCTCCCCTCTCCCTGTTACTGTCAGAGTATTTGAGGCTGTTTCCTTTAAGGCCAGCTAAAGTTTGGGGCCTTGAAGGAGGCAGAACCAACCAAGATCTTTGTAGATCAAGAAGCACAATCCTCCCCCTGACAGTACACCTCTCAGCAGCAGCCGCCCCTCTGAGCACCCACCATTGGCCCAGTTACAAAGCAGCTACATCCCAATCAGCCCCATGAGGTCCCCTTACTTCCCAGCTTCCTACAGCCACAACCCATCCTTCTCTCTTTCTCTTCTGCTTTCTACCCAGGCTTCCACCACCCCTCAATGCCCATGATTCATTCCCTTAACTTTAAAAACCATGCATGATCACTCAGCCTTTGTGTACTTTCTCAGGCTGCCCTCCCAGCCTCGGCTCCCTAACAGATCCATTTATATATTTATTTATTGGTGTGCTATTTTCCCCTTTGGTATCTGAGACTACAGTAGGGTCACGGGCCCTTTAGGCTGCTAACTAGCTATCCTCTGCCCTTACGGTAGTGCTGGTGGATATGATTATTCTTCTCCCCTTAGGAGCCTCAAGCCTCTAGATTTAAACTGTAGAACTTTGCAAAATGTCAGTACGGTATTTTAGCCAATGTAAACAGTTTACTATTAGGTGAGAAATAAACTCTGATTGAGGAACAGCTATGGAGTATGTGTTTTTCCTTCCTGACCCCGGTGGCCCTCCCAACATCTCATCCCTTAGCATTTTACCATAAATATGGGTTTTCTAATGTGGGCTGAGATGGTTGATCACATGGCAAGAAAACATATAGAACAGTCGTTTGATGGGAAGAACACTCCATTTACAGTCTAAAGACTTGGATTCAAATCTGGACTCTGGGTGACTTGGGACACATCTGACCTCTCTTATGTCTCAGTTTCCTCATCTGCAAAATGATAGGGTCAGGCTAGGTCTGTAGACCTACTCCAAATCCTGTGAACATGAGAGATGGGGGACTACATATGCAGAAGGAGACAGGGATATATTTTGCTTGATTATACATATTTATTACAATGATTTGGGGGGAGTGATGGGAAGAAGAAGGAATAAATGTTTGTTCATTGAAAAAAAATAATTAACAAACAAATTCTACACAAGTACTGAAGACCTCATTGCCATTCCACCTGCTGTTTTCTCCTTCACTCCTTTTATGAGGAGATGGATCTTTTCCCCAGAGGGAGTAGAAGCCCACTGAGGGCAGGGACTGTTTCCTGTTCCTCTTTGTTTCCTTAGCACCTAGGAGACTGCCTGGCTCCAGCAGGTTTTTAATAAATGCTTATTGATTCAAACACTTGCCCAGGGCTTGGTAAGGAGGAAGTTCTCCCAACTCCAGCCATTGTATAACTTCAGACAAGGTGTCTGCAGAGCTCTGTTCTCTTGAAGATAAAAGGGCTCTGACATCTGAGCACATCCTTTCACCTTGGACAGCCAACACACTAAGCTTTGGTCAGGCTTCCTAATGTGATAGGGTTGTAGCACCTAAGTGGTGGACTGCTAAAGCATGGGGAAACCCAGAAAGGCTGTCAGAGATTCAGGTCCCAGTTCTGCCACTAAATTCACTGGGTTGTGTTGTTCAAGTCACTCACATCCCTGGGCCTCAGTTTTTTCCATCTGTAAAATGGATATTTTGGATGAAAAAAAAAACCTCTAAGCTCTAAATCCTTTGATACTCTGACTATCGAATATCCCTTGTAGCGCTAACATTTTATGGCTCTAAACACTTTCTGTCCTGATGGCTCTCAACCCACAAATAGCACCAACTACAAAAAAGCATCCCTAGCTTTCACCTGCTGAATAATTTCTTCTTTAGGGGCCATATCTCAAAGCAGACTGAGGCCAAGTCAGGAAAACAAACAAACAAAAAAAATTACCCACCACTTTCAGCATCATGTTCTCCAACAGGACAATATATGACACTGAAGACAGTATGGCATAATAGAAAATCAGTCAGTCAACAAGCATTTATTAAGTACCTACTATATGCCAGTCACGATGCTAAGTTCTGGAGATACAAAGAAAGGGGGGGGGAGGGTGGACTCAGTTGCTATCGCCAAGAAACTCACATTCTAACGAGGGAGATAGTGCACAAATAACTAGGCATGTAGAAGATAGAGTAGATGGAAGGTGATCTGAGAGGGGAAGGTACTAGAAGTTGCCAGACTTTGGAGTCAGGAAAATAGAGGTTTGAATCCCACCCCAGACATTTACTAGTTGTGTGGACCCCCTCCCACTCCCCATCCAACACAAATCACTTAACCTCCTGAGCCTCAGTTCGCTCATCTGTAAAATAAGCATAGTGCCGCATAGGATTGTGGCGATGTGCAGACTCTAAATCTATTATTATATCGGTGTGTGAGTCAGACCAAAGCAAAAGGTGGACGCACCTAAGCTGACTGCAGCCGTGCATCGCCGCAGTGACGAGCAGCACCAGGGCCGTGATCCTGAGCGAGTCAGTCAATAACAGCCGACTGTACTTGCTTTTGCTATCAATACACCGCGGAAGGAAGACGCTCTCCTCCGACCAAAGCCCGAAGTTAATGCTTGAGACGGCAAGGAGGCTATGCCAATACTTGGGGAAGAAAGGATAATGAGCAGCGTGGGAGGACAAGAGAAAAGCTGGGCTTCAGATCGAATGCATTTCTTAATGGAATCGCCCAGACCCTTTTCAAATAAAGGAGCGCTTCAGGTTTTTGCTTGAGCGGTTTCAGGACAGATGGATTTTTCCAATTAAGCAAATTCTCTGTCATTCATAGTCACATCTCCTTTCATGCCCAGGGGACTTTAGGTCTTGAAGTCCCCCCACCCCACCCCCAATCCAAATACAAGAAGTCCCTCCTTCATAAAGGGTATAATATTTAAGCACTTGCAGCGATGAAGAATTCATTCGTCTGTTTGGTTGTTGGATTGCCCCAGTGAGAGTTTTCTCCCGTAGGTAAAGATCTGCCTTCCTGGTCCTAGCTCAGCCCTCTGAAACTGTAGCCTGTTTGCCCTCTGAGAGGCAGAATGGCCCAGTGATTTAGAAGTCCAGAGACCCGGGTTCTAGTTGCAAATTGGAACACTGTGCGACCATGGACAAATCATTTTTCCTTATCTGTAAAATGAGAGGGTGGGACCAGATTGTCTCCAACATTGCCTCCTAGCTCTGACATTCCATCATTCTACATAACCTCCTTCCAAATGGGTGAAGGCAGCTGCCAGATTCCCCCTAAGTCCTTTCTTTAAGTTATAAGCCTTCCTGGTTCCTCCAACCATTCTTCACGTGCCATGGTTTCACGACCCCTGTTGAAGACCCACAAAATGTGGTTCCTAGAACTCGATAAAATGTCTCAGCTGTAGTCTCTGTCCCATCGAGATCTGGGAATTATCAAATAACGCTTCTTAAAATCGCCTTCATTCCTTTGGGCCACCATGATATGGCACCTGGACTCCTACTGAACTTGTGGTCAGCCTCAGAAGCTTGAGGCAAGACATAGAATAGCGGAAAGAGCACTAGCCTTAGAATCAGTAGACCTGAATTCAAAACCTGACTCTGACCCTTCCTAGTTGTGAGACAAGTCCTCATACTTCCGTGCTTTGATTTGCTTATCTTTCAAATAGGGATCAAAATACTTGTACAACACACTTTAGAGTTGTTGAGAGTAAATAGTGTTTTAAAAATCTCAAAACAAATTAGAGGTGTATTGTCATCAGGGAGAGGTATTGCACCTGTGATTTCATTGGTCTGGGGAACTCCCAGGTGAGAAAGCTCCCTCTATTAATGCTAGCCACGGACCTTGTCTGCAGCTTATAGACTTGAGGGAATAGCATGGAGCACTCAGACATAAAGTCATTCTCCCAGGGTCACACAGCCAATATGTGCCAGAGGCACTAGAACCCAAATCTTCCTGCCTCTGAAGTCAGTTCTCCGCCTCCATGGCCCTGGATGCCCCTTATTAACAAGTGAAGTTATTGTCACTAACTAATAAAACCCTCAGGGGTAGGTGAACTAACAAGCCAGGGCTCCCCATTCTATATTTATACACTGGCTTGTTTTTCTAAGACTTCAGTGTAGGATTTGACATTTCTTTGTTAAATTTTCCCCTCCTGATTTAGCTCGTTGCTTTCACCAACTTTTGAATCCTGATTCTGTCATCTACTATGTTCGTGTTCCAGCTGCAAATCTGACAAACACGTGCCTTTGCCCTTCATCTAAATCCATGATTTTGAAATGCTGGACAAGACTAGGCTAAGGAGATAGTAAGGTTCGGTGGAAAGACCATTGGCTTTGGAGTCAAGGGATGTGGATTCAAATGTCACCTCTGATGTGACCTTGGACAAATCTCTTAAGTTCTCTGGGCTTGGTTCCTCAGCAGTTAAAAGAGTGGGTTGGACCCAATAGCACCTGAAGTGCCTTCCAGATTGAAATCTATGATCTTACAGTCCCAAGTATCATCACCCTTCCTGCTGACATCAGTAAGTTAAATTCTTTGGACCTCCCCTACTCTATATTTCATAACCCCCTGTTTCAGGGTTAGGCATCCCTGCTCCTTGCCAAGACCAACACTTCTACTTGGACTCTTGATCCCATCTTCTCTTATTGCCTCATCAGATGAGTCTTCCTGACTCCAGGCCCCACATTCTATCCATTGCACCACCTAGCTGCCCTCCCCTATCATTACCCCCTTCCAGTTCTAGAACAATAATGAAATCAACACAGCTAACACTCCTGGAAATGTCCCCTTCCTACCTTGCTTCTACTCATCAGTCTGATCAGTCAGTCAATAAATATATATTAAGCACCGACTATGTGCCAGGCACAATGCTAACTTTCCAAACAAAATGCCCCTCCCTGATCACCAATCACCAACAGTATGGGTTGTCTCCCTCCATGAAAATGTAAGCTCCTTGAGGGCAGGGGCTATCTTTGTTTTTGTCTTTGTATTCCAGTGCTTAAAAAATACATTTTCATTTATTCAACACTGTTAACCACCCTCTCCTGGATACTCTCTCTTCTCTGGGTTTTTGAGATGTTGCTATTCTTGGTTCTCCTCTGATCTGTTCAACTGCTTCTTCTTAATCTCCTTTGCTAGATCATCTATATCCTGCCCTCTAACTGTGGGTGCTCTGTCCTGGGCCTTCTTATCTCTCTCTCTGTCTCTCTGTCTCTGTCTCTGTCTCTGTCTCTCCATATATTCTTACTTGGTGACTTCATCAACTCCCACGGACTCAGTTATCTTGCTATGTATAACACCCGAATCTATGTATCCAGCCCTCATCTTCTCCTAAACTTCCTTTCTTCATCATCATCTACCTCCTGGACACTTCAAATTAGAGGACCCGTAGGCATCTCAAACTCACCAGATCTGAAACTCATTATTGATTCCTCCCAAACCCACCCCTGTTCTCCCTCTTCCTTCTTTTTTTCAAAGACACCACCATTTTTCTGGTCTTCCAGGTTCACAACCTTGGAATCATCTTCTTCTTACCCTCTCTCCAGTCTCCCTCATATCCAATAAGTTGCCAAATCTCTTCAGTTCTATCATGAGAAGAACTTTCATGTGCATTCCCTTCCATCCAATCCCAG